AAGGAGCCTGAACTTCTGAAAACACAGGGTTTATTTATTTAACATGCCTCCTTTCTCCCCATAGGAGACTTGAGGAGGCTTACAGTCAACTGAAATCAGACAGTAATTCCTATTAAAGACACTATATATAGGGAATACACTAAAAACAATTACACATGTAACAATATTTTTAAAACATTTTTAAAACATATCAAAAAATTAACATGTACAAGTAAAATCAGATTTACAATATGCTCCTTGATTTAGAAGAGAGCCGAATTGTTTAGGGGCAGATTAAAACCGGTTTTACTTTCGGTGAAGCCCAAGCAAAACTCAGAAAAGTGGCTGTTGCTTTTATAGGCAACACTGCAAGCAATCTCCAAAAGTGGAGACCTGCATTAAACACCATCACCTCTGAGTTACACTTTGGAGCTAGTCCAGTTGCACAAGGACTATTTATATGCTATACATAACTAAAATGTAGCTGAAGGCTTACTTCTTCTTGCTGGTAGAGGGTTTCTACAAACCTATGACACATCACTCTCCCACTTTAAAAACTCTTAGATACACATCAGAACATCGATCATTCTCTCAATTTTTCCTTATAAGTATGAGAATGCTGGTACATCCCTCTTATACCTTACATCTTACCCCACGTAAACAAGAAAGTTGAATTCTCCTTTTAGAGTTCCTTAAAAGGTCCCTTCATGGATTCCTGCCTTGTCGTGGCGAAGGGGCTTGAGTAATTCAGAGAAGCTATGGGCTATGCCGTGCAGGGACACCCAAGATGGGCAGGTCATAGTGGAGAGTTCCAAATAAATGCGATCCACCTGGAGCAGGAATTGGTAAGCCACTCCAGTATCTTTGCCAAAAACAAACAAACCCATGAACAGAAACAAAAGGCTAAAAGATATGATGCTGGAATATGAGCCCCTCAGGTTGGAACGCATCCAACATGCTACTGAGGAAGAGTGGAAGACAAGGACAAGTAGCTCCAGAACTAATGAAGTGGTTGGGCCAAAGCCGAAAGGATGCTCAGCTGCACAACCCCTTCTAGAACTGACACCAAAGAAAAATGTTCTTGTCATTATTGTGGACTGGAATGCTAAAGTCGGTAGTCAAGAGATAAAAGGAACAACAGGTAAGTTTGGC